TAAGTCTTTTTATAATAAAAGATTCAATTTGTGTTACATACAGACTTATCCATTTAACGTGAAGTTTTTCTCATCAACAAGATGAAAATGTCTAAATACTTATTTAAATTAGTTTAGCATAATAATTATAAAATAGTGTCATTTATATTAACGATATGTGTTACGTAAGAACTTATCCTTTTAAAATGAAAAAAAAAAGAAAATCAGAAACGCTTTTCTCATCAAAATAAAATGCTCAAATACTTATACAAAATTAGTTTAGCATAAGTTATGAATCATTAAAGTTTATATTAACTGTTAATGACCAGATATGATTTTTCAAAAATTTTTATGAATTCAGACAGATGTAACCTAAAATAGCATAAACATTTTTCATATCAAACAACAATTTAAATCAATTACAAATTATAAGTTAATCAAGGTGATTATATATTTTTTATCAGTTTCTATGGCACTTACTCTTCTAAATTACATTAGACTGTTACTAAGTTTGTAAACATGTGATCTTTGCCAGATATTGTACAGAATTTCACAAAACAAAAGAACCGATTTAAGACAATTACTAATTATGTACTAATCAAAGATAATATCGATATATTTTTTGTTGGATTTTGTGGCACTTACCTTTCTGAATTGATTAGCTTTTATTATGTTTAGTAAATTTATGACCTTTACCAGATATTGTTTTTAAAAAATTTTGCTATTTTGAATTGCATTAATTAATAGAACATATTATATTTTTCTCAGATCCTGCATTGCTTTTATTCTATACAATACCCTTCTACCTTTCTTACTTTCTGCTAGTATATTATATATTGATAAATAATAAAATAAAATAAAAATATTAATATCTGTATACCTTACCGATATAAATACTGAAATATACTAACAAATCTATATAAATATAATATATATACACAAATATAATAACTATTCATCAAATTATACCCGTTTGCGCATCTCAAACCGTAAACTCTCAGCTCTTTTTAAAAACTTGTTCATACTTGATCAATTAATTTTTTGATTGGATGGTTTATCATTTCTATTTACGATTTATAAGGAATACTTTTAAAAAAAATAAGTGATCATTCCAATATGGATTAACGGTTAGAACGTGGGCCCGCAGCGAAATGTTGCAGGTTCGAATCCGGCTGGTGCCATGCTGTAATACCCATATCCAGATTGCCCAGTTGAAGTATCGGAATGTGAATTTTTTTTTTTTTTTTTTTTTGCAAGTATATATTCATAAAATAAAATTTAAATAATAACGATAAATTAGTTATTATATTTAGGTCATAGACTCAGACGTTGCATCGGGTGCTGGTTTTTAATTTTTAAATAAATTATCAATATTGTACGACACGAATTACTGTAATATCATACATCCAAATTTTTGGCCAGAATTAAGATTAATCTATAAAATTTAATCTGTGTAACCAAAAATAAAAAAAGTTCTCGTATAATTAGAAATTGACCAAACCTTTTCACAAAGATGTTTAAGAAACCAGCTTTAAATGTCAAATCTTGGCTTCTAAGCAATTCTGATCGTCGAAAATTACGCGACGAACTGACTAAACGCTTCCCAGAGCTTGCTACTCGGGAAGCAAAGCAAGGCGAGCAAAATACCTCCATCGTTCCTGAACGCATTCATAGAGCTAATGTTACCACCCATAATGATTTGCATGGAATGATATACCTCGAAGAAAAAAATCCCATATGGATTAGATTCGACAGGGACAAGAAAGACATGATAGTACCCAGTGGTAATTGTTATTTTTTTTTTTTTTTTTAATATTTTGTAAACTATAATAAATTTTCTTTTCTTTTCTTGGTTTAGACTCTTATAATATACTAACTGTGATTCTATTCTCCTTGTGAATTAAATTGAGTATTTGCTGATTTCTGGTTTTTCCTAACTTGTGTGGGTAATTATTTATAATAGTTATTTAGATCATTGATTTTATCGAGTAGATTTTTATATTATATCAGGAATAAATTGTACTTTATTCATGTATTTAATTCTATTAATAAATAATTTTTATATAGTGTTTTAATACAATGTTAATAAATTATATATATATATACTGTATATATTTGAGTATTTAAAATCTACTATATAACTTTATATGTCAAATTAATAAAAAATTTATCGGCCAAAACAGCCACCTTAATACTAAAAATATATATATATATATATATTATTTAAACCACTAACACACTTTTAAATTCAGAATATAATATTATTAAAAACTTTATTTTCAAAATTTATTGGTATATAAATACAACTAATTTAGGTAAAAAATGTGATTAAATTCTTTTTTTTTTCATAAAATAATTTTATCCCTTTTTTCCACTACTTTTATCCTTACTTTTCAATTTAATGATATCAATATATTTTTCTGGAAATCCTTTTGAGCTTACTAAGTACTCTTTAACTTGTTTAGTTTGAGGTCCTTGAACCATTAACTCAGATAGTGGTTTCTTGAGTGATGATTGTGGAGATTGAAGAACTGTGTAAATTATATATATATATATATATATATATATGGATTACGTAAATAATAAATAACAATAACTTAAATGATCAACCATTATAAATAAAAATTTACCGGCAACGCTGCTTGCACATAACTTTTTAAGAGGTTCTATCAAATCTTTGGGATCAAATTCATATTCTTCTAAACCTTTGATAATAGTGACTACTTTATTACCCATGCGACGTGCCTCAGAAATTTGGATATGCTTAGGGGGTCCTTTCCTACAAATAAAATATTTAGATGTTAAAAAAATATTTTTAAATTAAATAGTAATACGCGTATAAAAAAAAAAAAAAAGTGACTACAACTTTAGCCGATATTCGTCTCCCAGTAGGGTCACTGTATGATATTCCTCCATACGGCTTTGAACATGATAAACCAAGTCATTTCGTGTCAATTTTTCAGGAACAGGTTCTCCTTGTTTGCTTTCAAATATTCTATGAAGCAGCTCATCAGGAATGATAAATCTATGTCAATGCAAGATAAGAATGTTATTAGTCAATGTTATAGAGATGAATACAATATAGTAATAAGAGTAACAACTTTCTGTTATTCCTGTCTGCCAAATTATGAGAAGTAATGTAATCAAGGATTGTTTTGGATATCTCCCTATATTCATAAACTTCATTCTTTCTTTTAAATGAAGAATCAATATATTTAAAGTAATTAATTTGAAATTCATATAATTGAACAAGATATTATTTTGCACAAGTAAATACTTTGATATCGAACCTTTTCCCCTGAATTTGGAAAAGTTCACCAACAGCACCTTTGGGCATGAAGACCTCAACAATTTTAATTTGATCCACATTACGTGTATTAGAATCTGAAGATATATCATCATTTTGGGTTTGTGATTTTGCGGCCGAAATAGAGGCTTTCTCTATAGTTTTATGCTTTTTAAACGATTTGAATCTGTGAAAAAATAAATTAAAAAATCGTGTCGTAATTAGTGGGATTAACAAAAATGAAAAAAAACACACATTGTACATTGTTATGACAATTTATATTACTCTTGATGATCCCAACTAACACCAACCAAGAGAGTATCACCACGCTGTTCCTTGAGTTTAATAACACCTTTTTTCTCCATCGCCTTTAGAAATTTTGGAATCACTAAAATCAAGATAGTTGTGGAAACTACCGAAGACGGAAATCTTTCTTATAAAATACATCCCGAAGCCTTCTTTGAGGACAGAGATATGAAATTCTTAATCTATGGCATTCATAATTTTATTTTTTTTTGGTTTAAGTAAGATTAGCAGCCGATAACACTCAACTTTTCATATATTTAAGGCCTATTTTGGTAGGATGCCAAAAATCTAGAAGGAATTATAAAAGCGGGGTAAAATATCTTTTAAAAGTGCGTTGAGGGACTTAAAATATTAGATGAAATCAACCGACTGGAGATGTTGCGCTTAATCATTGATTAATTGAAGTGGTTATTACGAGATGCTAGCACATTTATATTTTATTCTTCGCGTTTGGTTAGTTTATTCGATTCATACTAATTAAAATTTACCTCAGAGAAACCATGATTTGAATATTTACTTACTAATTTAATACTTAAGACTTAATATCATCTCATTAATACGACTCGAATGATTATATATTCAGATTATGTATTCAATTAGTTTTCAAGATATTTTTTATTAAAAGTAAATATTCAAAAAACATGATTTACAGGTTTTCCCTGAGTATCACTCATAGTTTGTCTACGGATTTTTATCATTTATTATCTTATTACAATCGTATAAAGTTAAACATAACATAAATATCATCTTGTAAATTTTATAACGCTTTATTTATTAGTTTAATTTTTACTAAATATTGAAAGTTTGCAGCAAAAAACTTTGTAAAATATTTAATATAATTAGTTTTTAATATTATTTCATCTAAAGATTACTTTTTATATTTCGTCATCCTAAAATATTTTCGACATCATATAATGTTTATGACATCCTAACATATATTTAATGAGATAAACTAATTTTTACAACCTGAATTATTTTCGACATTCTAAATTATTTACGGTTAACTATCTAAAATAATTTAACCATTTTAATTTTCGCCACGAGCAAAATAATTTAGACACCCATCTATAGCTCAAACCCGTCACCAATATAAAGAACATTATTAAAGAACGATTCATTAAAAGAATATAGCATAGTCAGACTTATAATTGGAAGATTTAAATCAAATAAATTTTTAAATTATCTTGTTTACAAATTAGCCATTGAACTTAGTGATTTAGCATTAGCCAAATTTATTAATTTAGCCGTTTAAGTTAGTAAAAATCCGCTTAGTCGACTAAATATTTGTGGGTTTGGGTCAATATCCCAAAGATCCAAATCCCAAAAGTACTAAATCTCAATACACTAAATCCTAAAAGAACAAAATCCCAAAAGTATAATATCCTAAAAATTAAATCCTAAAAAAAAAAAAAAAAACTCAAAAAATTATAATATTATAATTTTTTGAGTTTTTTTTTAGGATTTAATTTTTAGGATATTATATTTTTGGGATTTTGTTCTTTTAGGATTTAGTGTATTGAGATTTAGTACTTTTGGGATTTTGATCTTTGGGATATTGACCTAAACCCATATTTGTTACGTCTGAAATTGCACCTGCAAGCATGGGAAAAGTCGGTTTGGTTGGTTAATGTGATACAACTGTTTGTTTAAAGTACTCCCCTATATAATCGCCTACTGTCGGTATTTCGCTTTTCTTGCAGCTAGCGGATTAAATCACAATCAGATTCCCAGTGAACTTTTGCCAATGCCATATTTCTTAATAACCGTAATAGTATAATATATAGTTGATAGCTAACAAGTAGGAGTTCGTCCGATCCATTCCCAGTTCGGAACTTGAATAGTTCAGGTAGTTTAGGTAGTCTATTATTCGTTCGAACTACTATTCAAACTTTGACAAAATGCATGCTGGAAACGTATTATATTTTAGTTTAGATATATATATATATTTTATAATATGCGTCCCAAACAAGGTCATTTAGTAGAATTCCAATAAAAAGAATTTTTTGCCGGCCATTCTTTGATAATAAAATAATTTCAGTTGTATAGCGATAGGTTTAGTAATGAGTGTTCCGTATTAAAGAGTTTATTTTTTTACATATCGATATCTTGAGTAAATCAGGTTTTACAAATTTATGATAAAATTTTTATTTCATCGAGTTCACTAAGCTCCACGAAATATAAACATGAAAATATCAATGGTCAACATCACTGAAATAAATTGCTAGTAAATTTTTTAATTTTATCCATAAAATCTAAATAATAATTTGCCTAGCAAAGTTGATATGATATCAAATTGTAAAAATGGGATTTAGCTAAGAAAAAATGGTTTGATGGTGATCTCCTCTTAAAGCCTAAGAGATTTTCTATACTAGGAAATTTTGGATTACACAAGTAAAAAAACGGTTGTAAAAAAATACTTATTGTATCTCTTTGTATCTCTTAGCGCTATTTATATTTGCAGTGATTAGCTTTGCGAGATGAGAAGAGATGCGCTACTAGCCGCTCAA